CAATCAATCTCCATCCAGAAACAGATTCCCCTAAGAGCCCTTGGTGCGAGCAAGGTGGTTTGCCTGCAGACGTTTAATTACCCAGCTAGGTAACACCATCAGCGCGAGGTCGGTGTGCCCTTTGCTCCCTGTTTTATACAGGAGCTGGCCCTTTTTCTACAACATGGTTGTTGCATTGTGACTGGAAGTAGGCTTTTGGTTCGTTTTCCAGAATCCCACCAAGTTCTGGCTCAGCTTCTGGATACCTTGCTGGTGATCGGGAAGAAACTTCAAGAGAACCCTGCAGTGCGAGGACATCTCGTAGACGTGGCTTGCAAGGTAATTAAAAATGGTCAGCCCTGTTAAGCCTGAATTCCCCAACGGGTGTTAAGGAAAACAAACTAAACAGAATGTGTAGCGTAGTCAGATAGGCAGACAGGTAAATGTGTGAGATAAGTTTGTATTTTAGTTAACACGCACTAAAAAACAGATACGCTTGTGCTATCAAAAATATAGTTTATTCCATTAGGAATTATAGCATAGTCAAAATCAACGGTCCATTAGTCGTGTATCATTTCAGTCAGTCCAGCCGAGGATACTCAATTTGCAAAGTCCGTGTTGAATAGCCAATGTCAGTTCACTTACAATAAATCAGTCCGTATTATCTCTTCTCTCCGTTGAGAAATCAACACTCCTTTCTCTCCTCCGTTCCAGTAAGGAAAAACGCAGTCATCAATCCATCCAGTAATTAGGGATCATTAAGCCAGAGAGAGAGAGCTGCAATTGACTTGCTTCTTTTATGGTGCTTTTACAACCACACCCTTAATTACATTCTTGTAGTTAAAGTTACACACACTTTAACCAACAAACCATGATAACTTATTTATTATTTTTACCCAAACCAGTTAGGGTAAACAATGTTATCCCTAACAAGCCCGTGAAAGAACTTGGGTTCTTTAAGTGATTTAATTGCATAGATCAGGAATATCCAACCTCGGCCACTTTTTTAAGACAGGTGGACCTCAGTGCCCAGAATCCCTTTAGCTGAAGGTGCTGGCTGGGGAATTCTGGGAGTTGAAATCCGCAAGGCTTAAAGTGGCCAAGGTTGGACACCCTCCTGACATCGAGAAAGCAGAAAAAATCACGGGGGGAATCTACTCTTCTATTTTGCTCCACAGCACCTGACCGATTCCTCGCACGGCGTAAGGAACAAATGCCTCCTCCTGATTGGCTGCCTGGGGACAGTGGAGAAAGCTGGCGGCTTGAAGGAAGTGGACCGCCAGTCTCCCAAAGACGTGCAGAAGATCATCGGGGATCACTTTAGCGACCAGGATCCACGAGTTAGAAGCGCGGCTATCAAAGCTATGGTAGGTCTCTTTGAGAAAAAAAGGAAGATTTAGAATTCAGGATGGAAATAGAGCCAACATCCTGTCACATTTTCATAATTATTTTGCAAAAGCCTAAGTTCTTTGAATGGCTGTAATAACAGTCTGGTGTATTTTTTTTTCTCCTATAGTTGCAGCTCCATGAAAGGGGTTTAAAGTTGCAGCAAGCCATTTATAACCAGGTAAGGATTGTGTCCGATATCACTTTAGCAAAGGGTTCTAACATTTGATGAAGGCGAGAGAAATAGTAAGGGAATCTGATTTGGTTAGGTTTTGGTCTAGTGCTTAAGGCAACAGATTAGAAAGCAGGAGACGGTGAGTTCTAGTCTCGCCTTAGGCCATGAAAACCAATTGGTTGACTTTGGGCCAATCACCAGGAGACGGTGAGTTCTATTCTCACCTTAGGCATGAAAGCCAGCTGGGTGACTTTGGGCCAATCACCAGGAGACTGTGAGTTCTAGTCTCACCTTAGGCATGAAAGCCAGCTGGGTGACTTTGGGCCAATCACCAGGAGACTGGGAGTTCTAGTCTCACCTTAGGCATGAAAGCCAGCTGGGTGACTTTGGGGCAATCACCAGGAGACTGTGAGTTCTAGTCCTGCCTTAGGCATGAAAGCCAGCTGGGTGACTTTGGGGCAATCACCAGGAGAAAGTGAGTTCTAGTCCTGCCTTAGGCATGAAAGCCACCTGGGTGACTTTGGGCCAATCACCAGGAGATGGTGAGTTCTAGTCCTGCCTTAGCCATGAACACCAGCTGGGGGGACTCCAGGCCAGTCCCACTCTCATTTCAAGTCACCTAACAGGGTTATTTTTGTCGGGAAAAATTCAAAGAGGAAGGAACGTTCACCACCTTGAGTTATATATGTCAAGAATAAAGGCAGGATATAAATCTAAGAAATAAAAAACAGAAGAGCCTTCAAAAATTGCAGCATTTGGACACATGTGCTGCTTCTGAGGGTTAGAGGTTTAAATAACATGAATTCAAGCTCACCGCTCTTCTAGTTTTACCAGCCTGCCTGCCTGCCCACTCTTATCGTCAGTTGAATGTACACTTGATTGTAGCCAAGGAACTTGTATGTACATGTTAGGGTTTGAGGGATTAACCCCTAGAAGAGTATTGCAGCAGTAGTCAAGCCAGGAAGCCAAAGGAGAGCGGAAGGGCCCGAGTATACACACACTGAACACAAACACTGTTTGTAGTTTAAATAGTT